CCATGTTCGGTTCCAATCTCCTAACGGCCAATCGAGTTGTGCGCATTCGACGCTGTTGATGGGCTTCTCCGATGCAATTCACCTGTGGTTAAGTCGGCATACAAGTGCCGAATTTTCTCGGGCATTATCTGTCGGCGAAGTACCGAACCAGGCCCGCACAAGACATCTGTTTCCAACTGTGCATAGTATCGTGTGCATATTGTACTGAGGTTTCTGTTCAACGCCAGGGCCTGAGGCTACAGATGCTGGTTATATCATATGCTGCAAGGTTGACCATGATCAGCCCAAGAAAGCTACATAGCGGCTGCTATGCTGACTACTACCTTGCCTTTACTACTTTCGTTAATGATTTCTCTTAACCTTTCTTTAGACTGCATTTCTGTACATTGCATTTTTAGATGCGATGCTCCGGTTTTGTTTAACTACATGTATTTTTTCTATTCCTCGGTGATTTGTTCGCGTTTGAATTGATTCCGGTTTGCCAGCTGCCTGTGATAAAGTTAATCGGCCACTCACATGCGTTTCAAATCTTTTTGAAATAATACGATCGCATTATTACTGGCCAATGGTACACTTAAACAAGATAATGGCGTAAAGACAATTTTTGGCATTTATTCTTCGTGGAGTACGTTGCCCTCCGCATTCTTTAACCCTATCCATAGAACTTATGTAACCCTCATTCTCGTATTACAGAGGTTATTGCCTCTCCTGCTCTGAGTGGGGCCGCATGTCTATTGTTTGTCCACTTTTCATGAGCTCAGTCCTCAATGTGATCAGGTAGAGATCAAGAGCCTGTCTTAACCCCCTCCCCGCCCCGTTCTTCATTCTTTTCACCTCAGTGTTCTACGGGACCGTGGTTGCGCAGGAGATACATGGCGACTCAGCCCGACTGGCCGTCGTAGTGCACAACGTTTGGCGAACCAAGGGTCCGGCGGCGGCCTATCTACCAATGGAACTTCGTCACGGTCAAAACAAGATCTCTGCCTGGATTCCCCTGACAAGACAGCCGGATGAGAGTCCAGACTGCTTCTGTCCGCGCTTAGAGGTTGATCACTCCTACCTGTTCATCTCAAAGGCCTCTGAGGTTAGTCTGTAGTTGCCACGCCCCGTAACTGGCGAGCTTGCATGCGCATTTACCGTGCTGGCACGGTCACCTGCCTCTTACGGAAAAAGGACTAGTAACAAGAGCTTGTAGGTGGCACAATGGAATATTTTATGTCATATAACTGCCTACTCATTTCGCATTAGTACGTGTGTTTTAGTTCAATATGTTTCTAGGTGTCGGTTGTGTTAACACAAACGACTCGACAAGGCAAGACTGCTTTAATTCCACTAGATATAAGTATTTTAACACTCTATTTAAGTTATGTGGCTCATATTGCCGCCTCTGACCACAGCGTAAAGGTTGGTTCAAAATTCAGACGAGGTGCGCAAGGCAACAGAAGGTCAACGGCTAGCCGCTAACGTAAATGTAGGGCGCTCTGGCCACTGAGTTGTTAGGGCACGAACTACACTGATCTATGCGTTACTATAGCGGTTTTTTTTTGAAAGTTACATTTCAGGCAACACAAAAGCGCATGCAGAATTTACAAAGATCATTGACTTGCAGAGAATTCAGAAAAGTGGGTGTTTGCGATTGACCGATTTTCCTGTTCTGATCCCAAAGGCAAGTGCTATTTAGGAGTCCATCCAGATATCGTTCGATCGCTTGTTATGTGACAAGGATGCGCTTAAGCTTGGTCCACGGATACCTTCACCGTAATCAGAACCTTCGGCCTTTCTTCCCCCTCCCACTTTTTAGAAGCACTACGATGGAGGGAACGAACTTTACCTGGACA